GACATGTTCGGCATCAGCGTGAAAACCTGAATCTAGAAATGTATGTTTAAGCTAAAACAAAAAACTGCTCTAATTTTGAATTAGGCGCACCTTACAAAATGAGAAACAAAAAGAGATGAAGATGACTTGAATACGAAGATTTATTTTACAAATGATTCCAGATTGTATTCATATGAAAATTTGAAGAGAATTTTATTTCGATAGACATATCAAATATATCATTCAAACATACAATATCATAAGGCATATTAATGTATCATAGTCTTCTTTCTTGCTACGACAGTATTCTTCTTAACAACATATGTAATCATTCTGAAAAAAAAAACTCAATTAATAGAAAACTCTCAATACTCTTCATATGATATACATTAAATTTGATGATGGTACTAACATTTTCAAGTCTCTTTTAAACTTAAACTAATTTAAATATTAATTAGAATTTTTCTTTTAAAATTAAGATTGCATACTAGCACATCGTAGTAAAATATTCTTGTCAAAATAACTGAGTCTTGTTTACGAGAGAAACTTCTCAAATGTTCTCTTCAGATTTCAATCATATGTATTCCACGACAAAATAATATTCTACTGAAGACTTGAAAATGATTCGAGTTCCTACTGAAACTTGATGCAGCCATGAAATTTTTAATACGTTTATTTGCCTGAGATCGTGTAGAATCCTAGTTTTTTGAATAACTCATATTTTTATATTGTGCTTCTCGACTTCATATCTTAAACTTATGAGCTTCTCAAACAATAGACGCTTTTTAAAGCATGGTATCGTATGTGAAATCTTCAAATGGAAGTAATTTCAAGACAAAAATTAAAACAATACGATTTTCCCAAGAATCTGAGAATCGACAGAGGTTTATTTGTTTATGATTTGCTTGTATGAAAATTTTTAAGATTCCATTTTACCTAAACAGAATATTTCTCTTTGCATCATGATTGTTGTCTATATAATTATATTTGAGCATAAGCAATTTTCTTTTATCTTTGCTCCAAGTTTTTTTTCTTCAGCGAAAAGGAAATATAGCAAACTAACTTCAAAAAACGAAAACAGAAAAAAATTGACCGTATATAATAATAGCAGAAAAAAATACATATTGTGTGAAAAAAAAGATAGAGCAATATAGTAAAGAATAGACCAACTGTGAGTATCAACATTTAAAGTTCATTGCAAGAAAACAGAACGAAGTATTGAAAAGTCTTAGTCATAATGTATGTATGTATATACATATATATATATATATATATAAACGATCAATCTTTCTATATTTGACTAGTAATTTAAATGTTAAGAAAAATTAATGTTCGAAGTCAATTTTGAAGTAATAAATTTGTCGTATTATTAATGGCAAATAATGCTTCTGATATTGAACTTCCAGACTAGATAAAAAAAAAACAGAATAAAAAGATAATTTTATTAATTAATAAAAAGAAAGAAAGATAATACTTACTGCACATTTATTTTGTTCATTGATTGTCGACTGTTCAAAATTGTTTAGTTCCCCAGATGACATAGTTGATTCAAGTAAATCCGGAAAACTCCCAAACGACAAATCAGACATCTAAAAAAACATCACCAAAATGATTCAGATAAAAATGAAAAAGTTGCTATTGCTAATCACAGAAAAATTGTTTTATTAATCTGTCTATTTCAGGACACATTTTTTTCTCAGCCTTTTACTTAATCCTTCACCAATGCAATAAGAAAATAGTTTATGTATTTTAACGAGATGTTACAATAGTAATAAAAAGTACCTAAAATTTCATTCTTTAGCCTTATAGTTTGGCTACAAATAAAATATATTGAATTTCAATCATGAGGACTAATCAGAACTTGATCAGCCTTCATGCAGAAGAATTAGAGGGTCAGCATAGAAAACAAATCTAATGACGTTAGACTCCTTATTCGACAACTCAGTGTTGCCTCTATCACTAATAAAAGTTCACTATTAAACAGTTTTAGTTTGTCTGAATTTATGAAGTATTTTTTGAATAATCTCCACATGAGAGTTAATGAGAATCGTTGAAAAGTGACCTATATCTCTAACTAGTTAGTTTCAATCATGTACCTTGAAAATTCCTCGAGTTAATGTCCTGCTCTAATAAAGCTTTCCCTCAAAACTTTACAATCGCAACCATCGATGAAAAAGAGATTCGTGCTGAGACCATTCGAGAAAAAGGAGGTTTTCCCATGCCTCAAGAATACAACGGATTGAAATGTCCTATCTACAATATTTCATAGACATGCAATTATTATACATTCTTGACATTAAGACCTATTGACATCGGATTGCTGGTTGCAATCAGAATTTACCAAGCTATAATTGTACCCACAGTATCAAGTAAAAAGGATTCAAGCTGATATACTTTTGACTTGGTGGCAGAATTTCTTGTGACTACTATGTTCATACGCAATCTCTCACAATCTATGGGTCAAGGATCCGGTTTTTACTTCTATACTTCAACATTCCTTTTAGATCGTGTTTCACAAGACAATAGACATACGTTATCTGGCCAGTCGAGACGTAACATTCGTGAAGTATTGCTTTGTAAAGCTGCATTGACAATCGTTGCTATAAAAAAAAGTATAATATTCAATGAAAATCAATGTCAAATATTGGATCATACTGCTTAATGAAATAGTACTCATATTAGTATTATCATTGAGAAGATCATCTAGATGAAAAACGAAATAGAATATGAATAGACGAATACGTAAATCAAAAGAATTTTTACTTGGATTTTCACAATCACTACGAAATGGATTATCAGATGATGTTGAAAAATTAACATTATTATTTGAATTAAACATTAAACGTTGATTTGCTGCTGCTGCATTTTGTTGAGCATTTATATTTGCATCTAAAAAAATAATCAATAAAATAATCAAATTAAACAAAAGGTTTTTATTTACCAAGTAAAAGTTGAATATTTGAAGGACGAGTTGATTGATCACCATAACGTAATGGACGGCGAACCTATCAAACATATGTACAATGATATATCCAAAAACACAAAATAAAAACTACATACTCGTTTATGTCGATAGGATAAAAGATCATAATTATGTGCTGATGCAGCTTGTTCAGCAGCTAATGATTGAATTAATGGATCATCGATAATACCATTATTACTACTAAATATAATAGCAGCTGGTTTAGGTTGAGGAGGTGGTGGAGGAGTTGGCTCAACACCATTCATCATTGGAAGCAATAATGTTAATAAAGGTGGAAGTTCAGTTGTTGTATTAGTTGATGTTGTGATTGGTGGTTGTGGCGGTTGAATAGAAGCAACTTGAGATTGTTCCATGGACATTGTTGTTGTATTCGATGGCCAAGAAAGAGTATCAAAAATATCAACTTGTTCATCACATTGTGATAATAAAGATTGTCTAAGATAAATATATAAAAACATTTCAATATAGAAATTCTTATTTAAATGTTTACTCACTTATTATGCAAATCTCCGTCTGATATTGAATTTGTATTATTGTTATTTAATGATGTTTGTACTGTTAATATATCTTCATTTGAAAAATCTTGATTTGGTATTGTTTGTGGCATTTGTAATAAAGCACAAATTTCTGCATTTGGTGAATTAGCAGCTTTTGTTGATGTTCGTCGTTGATCTTTATTAGCAGATTGATGTTGATGATGATACGAACAACATGAACAATAACATTTTGATCGTGATATTTGTTGTTTTTTTGTATTGGTTTTTTTTGATGTTTTCATTTCAGTTTGTGATTGTCGTTCAGCAATAGATGTTAAACATTGATTTGCTATTTGAATAATATAATGAAGAAAAGTTGTTGATGATGATGATGATTCATTTGTATTTGTACGAGATAAATTATTAAAATCATAAATAAGACGAATTTCTTTAGGACGTTGAAGTAATTTTTGTAATTCTCCAATAGTTAATGTAGAAAATAGTGGATTTGTTCGAGTTATACCTTGAGAGAGATCAGCTAATGTAATTGTTGGATTATTTGTTGTTGTTGTTGGTGCTGTTGTAGGTATAGGAACAGATACATTGACATCAGGTTCAATTTCATCTTCAGAAGCAAACTGTAAAGAAAAACATTATAAAACAATTGGTTTAGCATAGATGACTTCTTTTTTGGGCGGTCTATTTATTAGTCGATTAATGGATGACCGAAAAATTATTAAATATAAGGTTTATTCATTTTTGAGTCTCTTTAAGAAGCCTGCCGACATTTCAAAACATTAGGTAAGAATCAGAGTTTTGCGTTCTTACTAAAGATACATTCAAAAGTTTTGTAGTTTTCCATAGAAAAGAGATCTGTGAAGTGAGTTTAGCTATTTCTGTATGATTGTTCGAAACTTATTGATTCTTATATCACTTTCGTAAAAAAACAATCTCATTGTTAATTCTATGTCAAAAAAAAAATCGCTAAGATAACTCATGAAGTAAAGGAGATTATTGCTTCAAAGCAACCTAGATTTTCTCGATTCCAACATAATATTTTGCGTCTTGATCATCACTCAATGTTTTCAAATTTCTGCAGGTTCCTTTGAGAATTTGAAACAGTGGATGAACATTTTGTCTAATTACTTTTCAATCACCTTTTAGTAGGAGTAAAACCAGACACTAGATAGGTTTTAGAAGTGAAAGTGGTTAAAAGTTTGACAGGTAGTAGAGTCTATCGCGTCGATTCGGTTTGTTGAATTTATTCAAGACTAAACTGATATTCTTGATAATACAGTTTAGAGATTTTAGCTCGTTTATTCGAAGTTTTAATAGAAAATCTTCTGAATTATGAATAAATTTACCTCATCTGTAAGATCAATAGCATCAAATCGTTGTTTAAATAAACCAGCACTACTATCCGCTTCATCTTCTGTACCATCAATAACTGTAAAAGTTGATCCATCGTAATTATTCGCATTATTATTGTTATAACTAGCAGCTCGTTTTGCTGCTAATAAAATAGCTGTTCGCGCTAAATTTGATTTATTTGTACTCGCTGTTGTGGTTGTTGTTGTTGCTGGTGGAGATATGGATGAATTATTAACTCCTATTAATTCATTATTTACTTCACTTTCGGATAAATTATTTCTTTTACGAATTAAATTTAACGATGAATCTGTTGATGGTTCTACTGAATGTTCAGAATCTGATCGTGAACGTAATTGTTTTTGTGAAGAAAGATCAAGTATTGATGTTGTATCAGTTGTTATAAGTGGAGAATCTGTTGATGTTAAATACGATCCATGTGGATATAAAATGAATTGTTCTGTTGATAAATCATCTTTAAATAACTAAAATAAAATCGAATAAAATAAATTATTTGTTATATATTTACAGAGTACTTACAGTTTGCGCATGATTATTTAATTGCCAATATTGTGTTAATTTATCGATAAAGTCATAAATGGTTGTTGAACGTGATAATAAAACTTCAACATGTGGATATCGACATGATAATCCAACACGCATATATGCATTTGATGATAATGGACTTAATAAAATTTTAACATGTTTTGATAATGTACGATCGGTTTGCTTTGATGAACCTAAATATTTGAAATATCTTAGTGCTTTTTTTTGTGCAAAAGAATTTCTTTTATACCAAGTGTATTTGCTGTCTTTGGAGGTTTTAATGCTTTGCCAATAATGGATACATGTTCTCGTTGTCCTTTTACACGTAAAAATGCATTACCATTACGAATAAGTTGATGTAAAACAGATATTGTTGGTTTTTTATCAAAACCTATTTTAAATCAAAAGAAAATCATTTGATAAAAAGGAAAACTTACATTTAACTTTTGGTTTTAAACATAAATAAGCAAGAACAGAACGTAATTCAAGTGAATCAACATTAGATTTTTCTTCTAATAAAAAGAAGAACAAAGAAAAAAAAAACATTTTTTATAAAAATAAAAACTGAATATTAACCATCAGTAAATGTACATAGTTTTGAAACTGTACGAAATGAACGATAATAAAAACAACGTATTTGACCAAATGTACGTTGTTGTGCTTCAGGATTCACAAGACGACGTCGAGTATTAAAAAATTGACCCAGTGCTTCGAAATTTTTTCCATACTAATAATAATGAAAGGAAAAAAAAAAGAGCGGAGCAGCGAATATAGATTTTCTATATAAAATATATTCATCATACAATTCGAAGTGCACTAAAAAACTGTTTTTGTTCTTCCATAGTCCATTTTGTTTTATCTGGTAATTTGGGTGCGACCTCTTTGACTTTTTTTATTTTAGGTGCTGGTGGTTGAATTTGAACAGCTATATAAAATCATAATCACAATCATGTTTCTATTAATATTATACTTTACTTGGACTACGTTCACGTTTTGGTCGTTTGGTTATTTCTTTGGTACGAGATGCAATAGAATCTTCAACAACATGTATTATTGGTGGTTGAGATTCGATTTTATTATCGTCTGTTGTTGTTTCATTCATGACATTTATTTTTCTCAAAAACAAAAAATGAATAATATAATTACTAAGCAGAATACATTTTAAGTATCGAAAAAGAGATATACACTTACTATGAATATGAACGGTCGATTATGGTGCAAAACAAAAAAAAAAAAAGAAAAGATCATCTGTCAAAATGCTTTACTCTCGTTTGTTTTCTTCTTCAACCAGTCATCAACGAGCGCAACCGTTCTTTATTTTCCTCCGCGCGAATGAATGTAATTTATTCTAATAAATGATATTCATTTACAATATCTTATTAGATAGATTAATATTCGACTTATTTAAAGATAACTATGTTCGAAGCATATACAGTAACTTCTGAAATTATTCGATCAAGTTTATTTTCGATTTTTTTCTCGGTGTCATCAACGCTAAGAAGAATTCAAATAGTGATTTAAGTGAAGAGTTTTATTTTCAACAAGAATTTTCGAATGTAAAAATGATTGCTAGACTTCTTTGGATAAGCTATTTGTAAAAACGAAAACCAAGTTTTTCAGCTCCTAGGAGCTACATAATAGAATTGTATTTATTAGGGCACACATTTCCTTTTTTTTAATCATTTCTTATTCTTAAAGTCCGTACAACCGATTAAGTTGAAATTTTTACTACAGACAGAGCACCTGGCATAAGGAAACACTTGTTCAACGAGAAAAGTTTTCGCAAGCTTTTCCATAGAATCCATCTTGATACGTTGCGATTTCTATTANAATGAGAATAATTATTTCAGACGTGAAACAAAAAAACAAGACGTAATCAGATGCGTGTCTGAAAATTTCAAATAACTTTTTGTCTATAAATTTACTTGGTTCTAGAGCAATAGAATATGAAATCCATTGTTTCATCTATCTGATAACTTTAGAAAAAAGCGTTCAGAAGAATGCTGAAACCTACAGAACTGAACGATTTTATGATGTTGTTTTGACTTTTTGTTAGTTCGAATTGAAAAGGTCGTTTGCAAGAAATACGTTGATTTCTTCATCATTGACGCTCCTGGTACACTGCAAGCATAACAGAATCGAGTGAACACAAATGATGTCATATATTGTGATGTCTTCTCTTTTACATACTACAAGAGTCATCGAGGAGTGATCAAAACTTATTCTTTGACCAATTTTGTGTTGGTACTTTTTACATTCGCTGTTTGTTAGATTTACCTTTTGAGAGTTTCAGACATGTATAATCGTGTGCAGTTTATGTCACTGGTATTCTTATATGTATTCTTTTACTGACGAGAAGATAGTAAGCATAAGTTTTTACATAGGATGAACCAAAAGTTCTGATCACGGTGTTTGAAATTCAATAAAATACTTAATGTTGATAGTTTGACTACATTACCACACAATAGAGTGGCTTGTCTATAATAATGTACATAAAAACTGTATCTAGGATTCAATTATAATATTCTTTTGGAGAAAGTTTACTTGTTGCTGAGCAACAGATGTGATAAGAGGAAATGAAAATATAGCAAAAAAGTGTTTTAACTGTGTATTATTAAATGTTCAAAGTAGTCGCCATTATTATTCATCCAAAGTTCGAACCTTTCTAAAATTTTGTCCAAAGTAATGTTTAACTTTTTCAGAAATATTCTTTAGTAGGTTGGGCACCATGAGAGCTAAAGATTCGTCGATTTCTCAATTCATCAAATATTCGGATAGTCACTGTGTTGTAGTCTTTATGTAGAATAATATTAGAATTAAATCCAAAATAGAGTTATGATGTCGATAATTATAGACGAAGCATTCTACTGTATTCATGGAGTAAAAACTTTCAATACGAACTATTTTTTAAAATTTTAAATACTATGATCGGAACTTTTGGTTAACCTTACGTATTTTCGTTCAAAATATTTACCCAGGTCCTCGATAGTGGTAGGTTGAAAAATGAACTCTGTTAAAACACCGTCTTTAAAAATTTATTAATGATTATGTTGAGCTTAGTTATATTCAGTGATATGCATAATTAATTTTTGGAATCCAAAGAGGTGTTTTAATGAGTTTCTTGTCTTGCGATATATCCTTGGCGGAGACAGGAGCTAATTTTTTGGCGAACATAGAAGTGGTAAGAATGCTTTGAAACGTATATGGATCGACTCAGTTTTTGATGCTGATATCAAATTTACCACTGCTTTCCCTCAAAACTTGGTTTAGTCTCAATGACGCTCCTCAAAATCGGTAAAAAAAAATGTACTTTGCGGTGTCGTCTGACTATTACAATGCACATTAGACGTCTGGGAGCAAATCGAAATCAGATGTTATATATATATATATATGATTTTATAGCCCTTTCTTTTCTCTATCGAAAAGTATATAACAGATAGCGGCTCGCATGAACAATAATTTCAAATGAGTCTAATTAATGTTCGATAATATGCCATAAAAACTTGCTTAGTGGAAAAGTGGAGAACATTAGTTTTACTGTTATCCTCAATAGTTCGTAAAAAATTATAGTCATTATATGAAATGATGCAAAATGAAATACTATTCCTGATCAAGAGAAACTGAGCCCACAAGATGTTCGAAATGTTGTACGTTCGAGTCATATACTGGCCGGATACAAACGTAATGAGAACCAACCGTAGACCCTATATATCTTCCATGATTTTCTACAATGTTTTCTCGTGAAAGTGATCGATAATATCTTAAAGTTTCTTTGAATTTGGTACCAAGAATATTCTCACGTTTTTGCGCATACGATTACTAATGAACTGTCAATGCATGATCAGTGATCCAAATTCTATCGTTTATGCGCTCTTATCCTTTAAATCGATATAAAGTGTATATTTTAAATCGCAGTAAGAGTCTGAAGCCCATCTTCTCGCCTAGATTAATGTAGATGCAGATTTGTACATTTTGACCGTAGATACAACGAGTGGGGCATAATAAACACATGCATTTAGTATTTCATTTTTTCATCATTTAGTATATTTGGGTCTACGAAAATTGGTCGAATGAAAATTGGTCGAACGAAAATTGGTACATACGAAAATTGGCCGTTACGAAAATTAGGCGTGAAGAGAGAATGGTCGAGAGTTTCATGATTTCAAGAAAACCATAATAAAAAATAAAGTGTCTAGTTGAAACATAATTTAATCATCGACAGTATAGGATGGACATGAAACTATAAACAATTTTTAGACTATTACGAAAAAGAACTCATCTTTCTCTGATGTATGGGAATTGATATAAATTCTTGATTAATTAATCCAAACAAGCTTCTACTTGTTAATAGTGTATGCTGGGATAAATCAGATTACTTTTGACCTAAAGCTAATTAGATTAAAAAATTTGAATAGAATATATATTAAACCACTGCGAGAGTTCCACATTTTTTTTCTAAAATGTCACCATTCCAATTGAGTACGACTCAAAGAAACAAACCTCTATTACTTTGTAAAAGCTTTTGTTATACCATCGATAACACAACTGATGATAAAATTTATTGGAAATGCGAATTTGTTCGAACGCTTAAATGTAAATCCGCCATGGTTGAGTGGTTACGCTGTTCGGCACACACCCGCAAAGTACTGTGTTCAAACCTCAGTAACATCACCCATGGAATGACTCTGGACAAGTCACTAACGGCTAAGTTGTCTCTAATGACTCATTCCACATGAGTCATCCATACTGACTATATATTTAGCCAGTATGTTGGACAGAAGAGGGTGCAGATACCGCCGTCTGTAAAAAGAAAAAGACGAAAGAACCCGGCTGCATGTGGAAACTATTAATAACAACCACGGCCGGCCCCAACGGGCGATAAGCCCATGGGACGTTATTATTATTATTATTATTTAATGTAAAGGTAGAATTCATACTAATTCTATTAATACAATCATTTTTACATGAAAATAATAATCACAACCATCTTGGAAATGCTGTTTCGAGTGAAATTCGACTATTTGAAGAAACAATTCGTGATCGTGCTGTTAATTATGATGAACCTACACAAACTGTAATTGACAATTGTTTAAATAATTTATCTGATGATACTGTAGCATGCATTCCAAAATTTAAACATATTAATTTTCATACCTATCGGAACATTTTTTTTGTATCTGTGAATTTTTTCTGTATTTCTTTCTTCGTCTTTTCTTTATATATCTGATTCATTTCTATTCAATCATTCGATTTGTGTAACATTGTTCTATTAAAATAGTCACTGGTAATTCATTTTTATATCTGAAATTGAGACTCAATATTTTTGATGAGAACAGTTTTTTTCTCTAATTATAAAATCTCGACTAATATTCGCATCAGCCAATTTTCGTAACGACCAATTTTCGTAGTGACTAATTCTTGTAACGACTAATTTTCGTATCAACCAATTTTCTGCGACTAATTTTCGTTCAACCAATTTTCATTCGACCAATTTTCGTTTTCCCGATTCTTTTATGCATACCGTTCGTTTTTAAAATACACTAAATTTTACGCGACTAACATCCGACGCTGAGAACAAGATCATGTATTGATACACAACGAATTCCTTTCTTATTTTATCAATTAATGAATCATATTTATGAACTTTGTTCCGTTGCATATTGTTAGTGATAGCGCCTCAAAGAGAATAGTTGAGAACGTTTAAGTCGGAGATCACTTGATGGTCACATGTGATTGCTTATGAAGTGCATGAAATTTACCTGCAGACTGAATATGCGGAGGAACAAAGTCAGTATAATTTTCATGTGATAATGTTTTACCACGCTTTAATATAATTGGAGACATAAAGCTATTTTCAATAACTTCTAAGCACACCATATTTCTTTATGAATATTTAGCATTTTGGTTTATATGACTTTACTCCTTTTTTTTCTTCTCGACTTGATGCATAATCATGCTCCAATGAGAAATATTTTTCGTCAGTGAATAAAATTGTGTTTCATCGATGAGAAGATAAAGCGGACTGATCGTTTATTAAAAAGTGATTATGTTTGTAATCTCAAAATTTGATTACACAGAATTTTGCGCATTTTGAAAATAAAA